GTGCAATATCGTGTGAAAACCACTGAATCATTTGCAGCACCCCTTCTTGGTCCCCTTCTTGTTTTCACTTTTTGACAATTTTATTTTCGTGTTGGTATCCTGAGCCCCTAATTTGGCAGCATTGTCTTTCTTCTGTTGTAGAACTAATTCAGTTATGGCATTAAACATCTACAAAAACAAGAGGAAAGGAATCATATATATATATATATATACTTTTAACTTTCTATGTACCATCGTAAAATGCAGCCCGAGACAATACATGGCCGGCAAAAAATATATAATGTCTGGAGATTTTTGTATGATCGGAAAGAAATGCAAGAAAAGAAAGAGGGAAGGAGGAGGAGAAGGATGGGAAAGAGAATGTTTATCCAGTCCCTGACCAAGTTACATTTTCTCGCAATTCATATTGGCGGATCTGGGGGAGGGGGGTCATGACGCCTCCCTTGGGCAACAAAAAAAAAAGGGAAAAAAGAATTCTAGACCTACCTTTTTAGGACCCGTGAGCTGATTTTTTGTTTACATTAAGAAAATTAGAATTTTGAAGAACATAAGTCTTTAAAACACACTTCAAATGTCGGGAAAGCTTATTTAACGACATCTAGGATTCAAAATTTTCCTGGGGCAGAACCCCAGGACCACCCTTTCTTTTTGGGATTTATCAATGCATGGAAAAAAGAATACGCATGCAACTACTCATTTGTTTATGTATGTATACACACATATAATAAAAAATGAGAAAAATTTACCTGACCATTTTCAAGAGGGGAAAACCTTGAATTTTGAAGAACTTAAAAGTAATTAAGACACCTCAGAAGTCGGAAAAGCTCATTTCCCGCCAGCTAGGAATCAAAATTTTCCCGGGGGACAACCCCCGGACACCCCTTTTCCTTGGGGCTTATCCATTCATTGAAAAAAGAATACGTATGCAACTACTTGTGTATTTTTTTTTTTTTATGTATGTATACACACATAACAGGCCTATTTATTGTAATAAGAATGAGAAAGTTTACCTGACCGTTTTCAAGAGGGGGAAAACCTTGAATTTTTAAGAACAAAGTCATTAGACACCTAGTTCAAAATGTCGAGAAAGGTCATTTTCCGCCATCTAGAAATCAAGATTTTCCCGGAGGAGGACCCCCGGATCAACTTTCGTTTTTGGGAAAAATGTTGACCCAAACCCCTAGATTTGATTCCAGATCTGTATGATTCATATTCCCATTCCTCTTATAAGTGGGCCCCCCACCCCCACTTTGAAAACGTTCCGCCGGCCCTGCAATATATGGTTAGGGACTGCCTCAGGTTGTCGTGAATAAAGGGAAATTTCGATTTGTGTCAACTTAGAATGTAGAACCTGATGACATCATGTTAATTTAACTGCGCATGTTTGGGTGTTAAGCGATACATTCTCCAGAAATCAGGAATAGTTATTTGCTGAATCTATGTTCAGACCAGGACAGGGAAATGCAGGTGTGATGAGTCGTTATGAGACTGTTTCGGGGGAAATCATGTCGTAGAATATTAAACATGTTTACATTCTCACGACAGCCTGAGACTGTACCCAACAATAAATCTTAAATCTGAGTTGGCCTTTACATATATAATTATTTTTAAGATGTTTGACTTACTTCTTCTACATTGACGTTCTCCTTTGCACTTGTTTCATATAGTTGTATACCCATTTGTTCTGCAAACTTCTCTGCATCCGTAGACTCTACAACTTTTTTTTCTGGACAGTCATTCTTGTTTCCTACTGCATATTTAAAAGTAAAAATAATAAAAATAATAATAATAATAATAATAATAATAATAATAATAATAATAATAATAATACCAGAACATTTCTGCACCTTTTGAGAGAGCAGCTTAGCTCAGTTGGATAAAGTGGTGGTAGCCACTGTGTGTGCGCTGAACCATGAAGATTTGTAGGCCCCCAGTTGAATTCCCATTGCTGCTCTCCTTGTGTGTTCAGAGGGAGTGCTGCTTGAATACGTGGGGCCATTCCACTACTTTCTCTTATGCATGCATAACCTCCTTGGTGGAGGTAATTATCAAAATTAATTTTTGAATTGCTCAAGAGAGTATGAAACTCTCTTAAGGAATTTGATTATTGTCCAAGCCATTGCAATTTAATATTTCAAACAGAATTTTTTCATCTTCAGCAAACTGAAACTGAAGAAATTATGTTTGAAATATAGAATCAGGATGACTTGTACATTCTTCTAAGCTTATTTCATAACGTGTTATGTCAAACTTATTGGTGAACACACTGATCTCTATTATTATTATAATGGCTGGATTACTCATGAGCCAATCACTGAACAGAAAAAAGTGAAGCCACCAACGCCATATGAAAGATCCTAAGTGACGTACAAGTTTTTTTGGCATTTAATTATTGTTAAAAAGAACTTTCTTATTTTCAATACTTTTTAATAATAAATTTAAATTTTACGAAATTATTTTTCAAAATCATCTAACTACTCAACACGCCTGTATTGCAGTTAACAAAAGCGTGAGCGATGTCATGTTGTTAGTGATTATCACGTCAGTTCAAAAGTTTTGCTCCAACAAAGCATCAGTGGCTTTACTAAAAGCCATTGAGCAATCAAGCTTTTACAAGAGATATCAGTGGGTGAACAATTTTCTTAAAGATACAATTAAGAGTTAGATTCCAAAAGTCATAAATTGTGTACCTTATTGCTCTGGACAAGGAAACTATAAATTATAAATTATAAGGTGAATATCTGGGAAATTCCAATGACTCGCTGTACAAGAGATCAGTTCTTAATGTTTTATATAATACTGTTTTTGTGCAAATTGTCTGTTGTGTTCAAATATTAGCTTGTTTTTTCAACATAAAATATGTATATAGGGAAAATATAAGCATATTTTACTTGGATCATATATTTACAAAACTTACCTAAAATTCTACTAACAACATCACAGTTCTGGTCTATTTCATGTAACCATCGTTTGACATTTACAAAAGAGTCTGCAGTTGTGACATCATACACCACTATGACCCCATGTGTTCCTCTGTAATACCTGCAATACAGACACAAAATTGATTCAAAAATTGATTGGCTCATATGAATAGTGCAACCAAAAGGAATACAGTGAGTTATGATACACTGGTTTCTGATTTTTTTAATATGTGATGTCATTTGATTATGGCCAGATTTGTTTATTTACAGAGGCCTCTCGATAAGGCAGTTTGTTATAATTTTTCATGTAGAGTGCTTGTTGCTACATACAGTATAGAGTAATCAATTTCATACATCCCCAACATTCACATTACTTTCCATACTAGAAAAAACAGAAGTAGGACCTACATAAACAAAAATACATTTGATCCTTTAAGTACCAAGAGAATACTGATGATCCTTAAATTTCAATTTAAATTATCAATTTATGAAGTTCATATTTTGCTTAAATATGAAACAATGGCATTCTGTCTTTAAAAAAATTAAATGGATGGCAGTAACAACGGATAATCATTTATTCAGAATACTAATAATGAAAAACGTTTGACTTGAATCTAATTATGTACTATAAGTGCAGCTGTTGCAGATAATACTCCCTTGTCTGCAAGTGATATAAATCTAAAGAAACAATATTATTTTGTCTAGAAGTAGACCTACTTTAGATCAATTAGAAAATCATTCAATATTATTAAAAATAAAATTAATTATACAGTACAGTACTATATGAAGTTCATATTTTGCTTAAATATGAAACAATGGCATTCTGTCTTTAAAAAAATTAAATGGATGGCAGTAACAACGGATAATCATTTATTCAGAATACTAATAATGAAAAACGTTTGACTTGAATCTAATTATGTACTATAAGTGCAGCTGTTGCAGATAATACTCCCTTGTCTGCAAGTGATATAAATGTAATGTACAGCAACAAGCATTAAGCTAGAGACTATCAAAAGCATATGACATGCCTTGATATGGTCATGATGACATCACATCTTGACCATATATAGGCACACCATCACTATATATGGGCATACAACATACGTGGAAGTTATTGTTCGGAATCGTTCTTGACCTGCTGTGTCCCAGATTTGAAGCTTAACTTTCTCATTGTTTACATCAATCGTTCTAATTTTAAAATCAACACCAATTGTTGTAATGTAGGTTCCTTGGAAAAAAAGAAATCAAAAATTAATGATTAATGACATTTGTATATTATCTATTACTTTATGACCATCATTTATACAACTGCTTTTATACTTGCTAGATTTTTTTCACCTCTATTAAATTTCCTCACGCAAACACCATTGGAATAAAATTGTTTTTTACAACAGTATTTCTTCACTGAGAAGGTTTTCTTCCATAACGATATATCCAAATTTACAAACCTAACCACAGTTATAATTACAGCTATGACAAAAAAAAACAACAACTAAATCATCAATACATCATTTAACTTTCAGTATGGTAGAAAAAATTTAGGCCTACATATCTGAATATAATAATGGCTAGGTGTTACAACAGTACAGTACAGTACAGGCCGTGTGACTCTACAAAACATTCCATTATCATAAGAAAAAAAAAATGCAGAAAATAAAAAACTGACAAAACAATAACATTACAAAGATTCAAAATAGGAAACATTTGAAAACTATTATTTACAATGGAAAAATGAATCCTTGAGTTTTCCTGGAATGCATTAATATTTATAAATTTTGAGGAAATGAAATTTTAAACCAATAGAACAGAGTGACAGAAAATTTTGACATGCCAACATTATTGTAAATTGAGTTAAATTGGCATGTAGAGAAGATTGTTAAAAATATTGTACACGAAAATAGTGTGGTGGTGATAGCCGTATATTACATTTATTGCTATCATGAAAATTTATATGCATTAAAGCATCTAATAGTACAGTATATACAATATTTAACATACCAGTATATATTTTTATCAAATACTATATTCTGTATAAAGTGCTAGATAGATCATCATAATTTAAACTCATGACTATGATGCTGCATGATTTTTGTGAGGTGGGAGAAGGGATAGTTATGTTTGACACTGTACGAGGGCAGCTTTTACAGAAAAAATTCCAGCGAGGGCTTGCAGGGTCTAGTGAGGCAAACAACTGTTGGTGGGCCTGGAAAAAGTGACCAATTTTAATCTTTGTTCTCGAATTTATTATAGCAAAAAATAAAATAATAAATTCTTTTTTTCACTTGAGGTCTGAAAAATGATGTCTGATTGGGAAGGAGGGGGAGGGGGGCTACACCTCACAAAAAAAAATTAATCCAAATTATATACATTTTTTGGCAATTTCAAAATCATTTACCAGTCAGATATACTTTTAATAAATAAATCTTCTATAATTATTAACACCTATAATATTTGCAAATCGATGACACACACTGACGCATTCAGATTCAAAAGGCCCAACACTGCTGCGGCAAAGAATGTGTCCAAGAACCAAAAGGAATTGACAATGAATTATTTGGTACATACCTGAAAATGTGTTATCAGCGAATCGTAGAAGGAGACTACTTTTTCCAACACCTGAAATATAAGCGCCATTTACAGTTTGAAACAAGGAAACTGAAAACTGAGACTAAATTTAATCGAAAACAAAAACCTACATTTTTGTAAAGATAATATTAAGAAAAGCATATTGACCTTTGAAATGATGAATTTGTTAATTAAATGCAAGACTTATCCTACAACATTATCAAAACAAAAGAAAAGAGCAGAAATTTATTTGTGTGGGACAAACTGCCTACTCTTTTTTCTGGCAATGGTAATTTTGGAATTCCAAATATACATTATCAAAACAACTTTTAAAATTGATTATTGTCCTAATGTACTAACTATTATTAATGCAGTCATTCATTCTTATCCAATGACAATACAATAAAAGTACAATACAATTGCAATTACTCATTCCACATTTGGTAATTTAACACTAAAAGAAAAAAACAAGTTATGGTACCTTCTTGAAGCTTGAAGTTTTGCACACAATATGAAACCTTATGTGACAGATATAGTACATATGATATGACATATGCCCATATTTGTACATTTCACATTTCATATATTTTACATTTTTCTAGAGTATAGTATTATTTATAAAATATACCATTTGTATTATACGTTGTGTGTGCAATAAGCAATAAAACAAATCTAAACAAAACATTTAAAAAAAGTAATATTGTGGACTGACCTAAACAGGGTCGAGTTTTAATTATACAGTATTCTAAATTTCAGACAGGATTTAAATCCACCCTACAATTTGAAGGTATAAGGACTAACAAGTCACAACTGCCCTTCCTTGCATATTTGCTTTGGTTAACTGCAAACAAGGCCCTGTAAGCAACTTCTACGTAAAGTTGTTACTTGAAATGCTTATACTTATAATGCTAAAAAATAGCATGGGCAACTTCATAGGCAATCAATATTGATAATAGAGATTGAATTTATAAAGCATACAGTACAATAACATCTTACTCCAGTGCCTGCACCACTTAATACTGTTCCAATAAAAACACTCAGTTCAGTAATATATTCAATATTATGGTCATGGTATAGTAATTCTGTACCATTTAAGCATGGACCTATTAATAAAGTGTTTTTGTGCGAAACTTGCTGACTATAGGCCCACAGATAAATAGGAAGCTTACTTACAGTTGGTAATACATACAAAGTTTGTTAATACCAGCACTCATTATTTGATGAGGCCAATAACTGCCAGTCCCATGAAATATATTGATTGTGATGTCGGTCACAAAGAGTAGTGGTAATGACTGTGATGAAGGACATGACAATGATGATGATGATACTGATGATGATGATGATAATGAAGAGGATGATGGAGATGGTTGTTCCGAAGATTATAATGTCGATTAGGATGAATTCAATAAAGATGACAAATGAAGATGATGATGATTAAAATAGTAATGATGATGATGAAAATCAAGATGAGAATGACATGATTATGACCATGAAGATGGCTGATGATGACAATGAACTGACAAGGATAAGGAAGATGATAATTATTGATTAGTGATGTGATATGAGATAACTATGAAGTGATGATAATGTTGATTAGTGATGTGATATGAGATAACTATGAAGTGATGATGATGTTGATTAGTGATGTGATATGAGATAACTATGAAGTGATGATAATGTTGATGGTGATAAGGCAAGACTTTTTTACACCTTGTTTTTTCACAAACTTATTTTTTTAAAGATTGTCAGAGGGTGGAAATATAATATAAATACAATTTTGTTTTCTTATTTAGCAAATACTTATGCCAAAACATTCAGATGGAGGAGAAAATAAAAATAAAATGTTATTGGTGAATGTACAGTAAACAGTGTAGTAATGGGATGGTCGTTACTGTAATATGCTTTAGATTTATATAATTAGGAAGAAACATACATAAGTTATTTTTTTAGATTTCAAGGCAGCAGTGGGCATAATAAAAATAAAGATATTATATTGGCCAAAAATAAAATTTTTAAATTTCATTCCAAATCATCATTATTGGCGAGCGGTTGGTTCACTGAACAAGGTATTAAAAAAGTCTTGCCTATGATGGCAAGTTTAATAATAATACTTTTAGTACACATAAGTGAAAATAACACAGAAACATTAATACTTGATGATTAATGAAAAGCAACCAAAACAATAAACAATGAATAAAACTTGAAAACAAAATGAATGGGCCCCAATGATAATAAATTTTATATATAAAACTTTTTTTGGATTACCCTAGGAATTAATGTCTTATCTGTTGTTCTTAATCATTTATCTGTTCTTTGTTCCTTTTTTGTATTAAAGTAATTTGTGATTTTAATTCCTGAATAAAATGAAATTAAATGAAAATTGGATCATTTTTCCTGAAATATATCTCAATAAATGATACATTTAGAGGCTAAGTTAAAGTCTGAAGGTTAAAGACTAACCCTAGGTTATGTGTTGAACTAACAAACATTAGCAATACTATTCAATATTTGACTTTCTTACTCTTTGAACACGTTGACTGCCAGGCCTTTTTTTAGGTTCCTTCTCGTGTGCCAGAACAATAATATATGTATAAACATACTTTTTTGAAATTCTATCTACAATAGTCATATATCATCAAAATTGTGTGTCTAATAAAGGTGGAAAATATTAGATTAGTAAACTCGTTGCCGGCACTGGGATAGCATTTGTTAGTCTCTGCCAAGTGCAAGTTTTCTCATCCGCTTTTTGCATGGGTTAGTATACGTTCAGAAGTAATAAACTCTTGAATGTTAACCCAATTTGGACGAGTATAGACGTCCCTAGTGCCCTCAGTAAAACTAACAAGAAGCAGGAAACAAAACAGATAATTTTTATTTTAAAAAAATTAATCTTGATTACTGATAATGTTGTAAAAGAACTAATCATTATTATCATCTCATGCGATTAAGATCACTGCCATAATTATCATCGGTAGCAGGTCAAAACGGCAATAAACCAAAACGGCAATAACCAAAATGGCGCAATGTACCAAAACAACAATGACAAGTACCAAAATGGCAACGGAACGAAACGGCAATAACAAGTACCAAAATGGCAACAGGAGCAAAATCAATGCTAAGACTAGCAAGCACCAGCGGGCCGGGCGCAGGCTGCATATATAATTTTCTGAATCGTTTTGAAATTGTCCCGATAGGCAAATCGAATATTGCCATGGGCTCTTTTTCCCACATTTAATGTTTATTATTATTATTATTTTGCATTTTTTTTACTTTTATGACATAAATTGTTTAGCCTTGTTTTGTCTGCATTTGAAGGTTTTAATTGTTTAAATGTTTTACTGCTTTTGTATTGTCCCCCACCCCCAAATCTTTTTAATATTGAATTTGTTTTTATTATTATTATTATTATTATTATTAATAGCCTCATTTTTACCGTATTTAATGGTAGTACACTTTCATGTTTATAATTAGTTTATTTTTTCACGTTTTTACTTTTATGACATAAATTGTGTAGCACCGTTTTGGTCTATTGCCGTTGTGGTCAAAAAGTGTTGCCGTTTTGGGTTTTTATCATTTTGGTCATTGCCATTTTGACTTATTGCCGTTTTGGTTTATTGCCGTTTTGTCCAGAAAATTTATCATCATTATCATCATCCTCATCTGTACCCTCACCATAATTATAATTATTTTAATAATTCTATTTTAATATTTCGTCTCGAATTTTACTCTTGTAAATTGAACATTTTAACTTTTGTTTTTCGCTGCAATCCTTCTATTTCAAATATTGTATTTCTAATGTTTTTTCTTTTTAACTATTGACCGATTTCACTAATGATTTTGTACATGTATATTTTTAAATATAAATTTTATTGATAGGCCTATTTTTCTAGAATATTTTATGTTAATTAATCTATGTTCTCATTGGCATCAGAGTCACTAGACAGTGATTCAGTTCACTTTTTGGCAATCCTGTCCGGCCAACTGAGTGTTGTTTTTTGCTCTCTGTTATCTTGTGTTTATCAATTTTAATGTTTTTTGGACAAAATAAATGAAATATTTAGCATTGTCACTGTTGCCACGGTCATAATCATCATCATATTTATTTTCATTCGTCAATGTTGTTCATCATCGTCATTGTCACCGACCATGGGATGACAAGATTTGGACCTACAGTGTACTAGTCCATTAGTGCTAGCTAGATATTGGAAAGCAACAAAGTTTTTAAAATATACAACAGTTTAGAATCTGTATAGATATATTATCATTAAAAACATTTTTAAGAGGAGCTTTTTATGCAATAGCATACACTAGTTGCTTTAAGTAGGCTTCCTATACTAAATTAAATTGTAAAAAAAAACATGACAAAATAATATAAAATTTTTAAAAATATATATTAATTTTAGAAGATGTAATATCGTAACATAATTTACTTTGATAGTTTCATCAGAATCTTGCAAAAATATAAGGAATCCATTAGAAAATATCAAAACCATCTTCTTCCTTTTAGCCTATGAATCACAATTCATAGTACTTCCGGGTTGATCCGAGCCGAAAGTAAGTTTGTTCCGATTTGAACTGTTTATTTAGCCATTAATGACATCCAAATTACAGTTTGACTATTGTTTGCCACTCTTTGCTACTACGTGCAAAGTGTTTGCGGCTCGGTAGAATATTAAAGTCCCTGGTTATACAAGATAATCATTAGTTGGAAAACTATACACAGTAATACAACCATTGTTTCTGCAAACAAACATATAGAAATACGATTCTAGGCCCGACATTCACACGCCTACCCCTCAATCATCCAACACACTTCAATCTCAAACAGTCGTCAACGCCCATCGTCCCCCGCAAAACTACACACGAATATGGCCAGCTTGTTGTGCCTTATGCCCGTCTCACTTACCACTATCGCCTATAATCAGTAACTTGAATAAATGGTCATATTCTCTAGCCATTCTTTAAATGTATAGCTATTGAGATAATATCGTTTTTCTGTATTTCCCTCGTTCCGTTTACACCGCAAAACTCCAGCAACGTCGATCCTATCTGGCAAGGAAATCCCTCATAACTGTACTCGATCTGGAGGCCAGCTCGAGCCGCTGTGACGTCACCGTTGCCAAACACGCATGGTCAGAAATTAGGGGTAGCCCCATTGTTCTACAGTGGATGCATGTTGGTATTTTTGGTATTTTAATCTGAACTTTTAAGACTCAAGAGCATCTATTTTTATAAACTAAGATGAAGAATTTGTCATCAATTTGCAACATATGTGTACGCCAGTTTTCGAGAACACTAGGAAGTCGTTTAGAATCACAAAATGGGATTCGACAGGTCAGAAGGTGAGATGGCCTCCGATTTGTATGATGATCTTGATTGTTGATAGATCACCAGTGTTGCCATGATGTCAGTTGTTTATAATGTCCTCACCATCATCTAGGACAAGGCCTAGCCTCTAGGCCGAATTATAAAGAGAAAACTTTCTTAGGACCAACTCCTTGTTACGCCTAAGCATGAAGGTGGGGGGGGGGGAGTAGGCCTAGTACTGCTGTACATTGGATATCATCGCGTTGTTTAATTTTCAAAATGTTTATGAATGATTATCACAATGTCTGTGTAAATTAAATATCATACAATTACAAAATACTACTAGGCCCCTTAAGTAAATTATTAATATTAATAATTAAATATTCCTCCTAGGCCTATTTAACACGCCACTTATCAGTCTCTGATTTTCTTGATTTATGCTAGACAGATGATGAAAATTCTGTCTGAATTAAAGTCACCCATTCATTATTTATACTAATTCACTTTTAACTTTTTATTTCAGATTAACAATTTAGGTGTACAGTATGTGAAAGATGATGAGAGGATTTAAATTTAATGATGATGAGGATTAATAATGATAATTATTTTTATTTTTCAAACTTATTTCTTCTCTAAATGGCAGTCATGAATGTTCGATGCTATGACAAGGTCTTCTGCAGACTAAAAATTAGTATTATTTAGCTGATCCAAAAAAAAAAAAAAGTTACAGTAAGGTTAAACTGCAGTCCCTAGTTATTTGGACTAGGCCTAAAAGCACAATTTTGGGCACCTTAAACCATAAACTATCTACTGGCTAGCAGGAGCCAGTTTCATTGTATTCAAATATGACATGCAGAGAATTTAATGTATTTATTTCAAATAGGTACTCTGTAGATCTAGCACACACTGTTTACCAAGGAGATGCTAGTCTTGCTAATGTTATCATAGTCCATGGGTTGTTTGGATCGAAGAGCAACTGGAGAACCCTAGCAAAGCGTCTTACCAAGGACACTGGATGTACAGTAAGTTCTGCTAGCTTCTGCCATCGTGAAAATCATGAAAAAATAATGACCCCTGAGTAAAGCTGGACACACACTGTCGGCCAATGCGATTCTATAGAGAACGCATGCAACAGATTGTTTATAATGACGATCCGTTCAGACTGCTACCAGCAATCGCCTAGCGCTACACGGAGCGGAGCTGAATTCAATGGTCGTACAATGCAGTGAGTTCCTGGCTTTAATTTATATTTAAATCATCTTTATTTTCAATACACTTTTACAATTATTACAATTATTATTACAGTATTGTAA